GTAAGTTGGAATGTTGCTGAATCTGGCCGCATCGTGCGAGGACGAGAAGTGTCTCGGATATCTGCCTAGATGAGCCACAAAGGCGTTTTTTCCCGATCTCCTCTTGGTCGGGGTTGTGTTGTTCAGACAGGTTTCATCTTTTTTTTTTTATTTATTATCATCATCGACTGAAATCCTATGCGGCTGGGATGGTCGGTCCGCATTTTGCATTAAAAAGCCTCCAAGCTCTACTTGTATGAGAGCTGGATGTGTCATATTGCGAAGAATGGGAGGCTTAAAATGAAAATATGAAGTCCAGAAGTATTTTCACCTCCACTTACAACAATACCTCGTCAATGAACCATCTGAGAAATAAAACAACAATCATTTCATCTAAGCTTTCCTTCCGCCTCGTGAGAAATGGGGAAAAATAGTAATGGAAGGGCATTTTACTCCTCCAATGAACAGGCACTATGAATCATATGGAACCAACCTTGAGATTTCGCTTCAGATTTTCCCCTATTTTCCCTTCACTGATTTCGCTTTCCGTGTTGTCTTGTGTGTGGTCTGTAAAATCCAGAGCAACTTGTGCAAACTTTCAATTTGTTGAAACATGTATCATTCTATTAGGAATGCTATTGTCTCATGTTTCCTCCAGAAGATGGAAATTTGACAGATTGCAGATTTTAATTGATTTATATTTCATTTCTGAGTATATCCTTTCCTCCTGTTTATTAATTTAATTCCTTGTAAGCACCATTTTTCCTCACGAGTCTTTATGCTATGAAGTAATCTTCTTATGTTTCTCTAAAGTTCTGCCTTGTACAAAAGTACTTGTATCTTCTTTCCTTTGCCTATAATTCATAAGTATCTCCTTTTCTTTTAATATCATTTCTCATAAATTCCTTATTCCATAGATTTTTTTTCTGTCAGGATGCGATTGTCTTATATATGTCCCTGATAATTCCTACCTTTTAGACAATTAGTATTTTTTTCGCCTACATCTTTCTTCAGAATTCTATTGCCTTTTTTCTTATTAACCTCATTCCTCAGAAACTTGTCATTCCATTCAATTTTTTTCCCAAGCTTATGATGTAATCTTCTCGTATTTCTCTGAAAAGTCCCACCTTTTACATAAGAGCTTGTGGTTGTCAGACCGTGAATGCCTGTCACAGGGGACGAGGGGGATTAGTTTCCATGGCTTTCTCTTATTACGTGGATAACACGCTGATGAGACGCTTGATTCAGATTCAGAAGTTGGTCTGAGAGTTGTTGGGGGGGACTGCTTTTAGATTTGTTCCTATGGTGAAGTGGAAGGAACTTAAAAGTCTGTTAGTTTGATTTATGTTTTTTTCTTGATTTTGGAATGGAAAGGTTTGGTTTTTCATATTACTTGCAGTTTTACTGTTTGCCTTGTACAGTATTTAGCTGAAATTAAATGTTTTGCCCCATAAAAGTAGTTTGTGATGGTTGAAATAGAAAGACTTGTTTAGAGTTGTCAATACAATGAACATGAATGACAAGAAGTCAGAGGATGTAAATTATGGTATAGTTTTTCACACAGCCGTATGGTACAAGATAATCTTTGCCTGTAATGCAGTAATGGATAGAACAATATAAGATAAGATACTTTTCTTCTATGGTATTTCCTCCATGAGTTGGAAAAAAGAAAGTGGTGCAACAAGTAACATTTTGGTATACATTTCAGGATAATGTAATGATACTATCATAGTAAAAAGGAAAAGCTACACTTACTAATACATGAAATAATCTGCTTAGGCAAAAAAATATTAGAAATTAAAATAATAGGGTATAAATGCCATACCATGAATAAGTCAATGGGGGATTGCATGGGGGTCTTGGCTTATGAAGGTTTTTTGATCATGTGGCAATGTTTGTGGATTCATTTTCGTTTCACACAGCCTTCCAACATTGCAATTATTATTCTTTGTTTCAATCAATCACATAGTAATTGGTATGAATCTCTTGTTAATTTTCAGTGCAAATAATGTAAATTAAATTATTGGTAATTCTTTACAAAGTGCCCTTACCCTTCTGAGACTATGGGCACGAACTGCCCATAGGAATCCACAAACATTGCTGTAAGAACCTAAAACTTCCCAATCCTGGGCTTCACCCCCAGTCCCCTTGGAGGCTCTGGCCCTGGACCCACATCTGATTGCCGTGGACTTACACTTTGCATGGTATTAGTTGTGACATATTTATTCCTGATATTATTCTTTGCCTTCACAGAATGTCAGATATCAGTGAGAGTAGTTTTTCCCTTATTTTGGTATAGTGTCATTAAATTAACCTTCAAATGTAAAGCAAAATATTATACATTGCCGAACTGCCTTTTTATCAACGAGTGAAGGAAATACCATAGATGAAAAATGCTTTATTTTATGTTGTTCTATCCATTACAGGCAAAATTTACCTTATACTATATAACTGTGTGAAACAAGCTATAACAAATTAGAAATATGTTTCCACTTGCTGTCATCAGTAGAAAACTTAACCCAGTGTCAATGGGAAAATGGTGCGTTTCCTTTGGCAATGCTTGGTTAAATGTTTCTGCATATAGATGGTTCTGCCAATGCTTAGCCACAAAGGAATCACTTTGTAGATCTTGCAACCTTACTTTTCCCTTTTTATAGTAATGCTATCAATATTGACACTTATTTTTGTTATAAACATTATAATTACTATATTGTTACTGACATTACCAACAGCAGTATGAAATACTAGAAAATATTATCAAAAATCAAGGAAAAGGGTAAACGGGAGATAGGTAGTATGCGCAAATGGCTCATTGGTGACTTAATACTTGGGGAGCCATCTACATGTAAAAACAATTACGAAATTCAGCACACACGATGGCATGCCCGGCGACATGGGGTTAATTTAGCCCCCAATTGTCGAGTGTGCTTGCTGTGTATATATATATATATATATATATATTATATATAATATATTATATATATATATGTATATATGTATATATATATATGTATGGTATATATATATGTATGTATATATATATATGTTATATGTGTATATATATATATATATATTATATATGTATATATGTGTTATATATATGTATATATGTATATATGTATATATATATTATATATATATATAATATAATATGTATATGTATATATATAATATAATATATATGTATATATATATATATATATATATATATATATATATATATGTATATATGTATATATGTATATATTATGTATATATATATGTATATATAAATATGTATATATGTAATATATATATATATGTATATATATGTATATATATATATATATGTATATATATGTATATATATGTATATATATATGTATGTATATATATATATGTATATATTATATGTATATATATATGTATATATTATATGTATATATATAATGTATATATATATATGTATATATATGTATATATATATATATATTGTATAGTATATGTATATATGTATAATATATGTATATATATTATGTATATATGTATATATGTATATGTATATATATGTATATATTATATGTATATATGTATATATGTATATGTATATATATGTATATGTATATATATATGTATATATATATAATATATATGTATATATATGTATATATATATATATATATAGTATATATATATATGTATATATATGTGTTATATATGTATATATATATGTGTATATCTATATGTATATATATGTGTATATTATATGTATATATATATGTATTTTATATGTATATATATATATAATGTATATATATGTTATATAATGTATATTATGTATATATATGTATATATAAATATGTATAATATATAATGTATAAATATATGTGTATATATTATTGTATATATTAGTATATGTTATAGTATATATATGTAATATATATAGGTGTATATTATTATAATAATGTAATATATATGTATAATATAATGTATATATATTGTTTATACATATATGTAATAGTATATGTAATATATACTCGCTATCATACTATCCACTGTATATACTACTACTGATACTACTCATGCCTCATCATACCTACACTCCGCTAACTCCCCTACCTACTGTATACTAATCAGGTCACTGTCATACTCACTCTAAGTTTATATAATCAATGCTAATATGCTATACTCAACTCACCTGTCATACCCTAGTGATGGGTTTATATATATGTATATGTATATATCATTTATATATATGTATGATATATATAATTATATATATATGTATACTTATTATATTATCACCCCTACCTTTATATATACTACTGGTATAGTATATATGATTGTGTGAATGGAGTAGCTAGGTGTTATGGAGTAGTTAGGTAGTGGTGTATATATATTAGTAGTGGTATACTAGTGTAATAGAGTGAGTGTAGTATGATATAGGTGTAATGTATGTATATATATCGTATCCTACTTCCATATCGCTATTGCTATGTAATGTAGTAGGTATCGTGTATATGGATATGAAGTGTATGTGTGATGTGATGTATATATATAGGTATAGTAGTAGCAGTGTATATGATTCGATGTAGTATTATCACATGTAGAGTATGATGCATGTAGTATATACAGTGTAGTAGTATCATCGTATAGTATAGCATGTATAATACATGTATAATATATACTATGTATAGATATATATATGATGTAGGTATTTAGTGTATAATATACGATATATAGTAAGGTGTAGTAGTTATCAATAACATATATACTATTGTATATACTACATATACTGTCCCGTGTGAGTGGATAGGGTGTAGTGGGGGGCGCGGTGGTATATATGGTAGTGTAGTGTATATATAGCATATGGTGTGATGTATATATTTAGTAGTATATATATGTAAGGATATACGATGAGTATGTATGTATGGTTACGGTGTAATACATTATTATACAATGTATAGTAATGTATTACTATATACAATATATACATATATATAATGTATAATTATAACATTTATAGTAATGATATACATGTA